CTCCACCCATCTTTTTCTTTCCTGAAATAAAATATGTCTTTGAATATATATTCATTATCTTATATATCATCTGTTAAATCTGTGCAGCAAATGTATTCTTAATCATTCTGCAGTCTGAGTTCGGTGTATTTTCTTGTAAACTGGAAGATTTCAGAGATTACAGCAGAAATATTGATCTGTTTAGTGTTTAAAAATCTATTGATTATGTGGTGGTGCGAGCTTATATAAGCATAAATTGACCTTGCAGTGTGTTTTATTTGTGTTTCAGCTGGGGCTCATTGCAGTACACAGATGTGATAAGCAATACTCTTATATGGGTTAGAGTGTAGCTTACAATGAAACTAATCTCTTCAAGAAGTGGTGTTCTATAATCTGCAGGAATGTTTAACACAGTTTTGAGAAGAGATATTAAAGTAGGAAAAGGGCAATAGAGGTCAAGTGGAATAAAAAAGAAGAGGGCAAATAATAGGACTAGGAAAATGGTTGATCTTTTAACCCTCTTTTTAAGAGACTATGTTCTTTTTTTAAAGTAGTAATGTTCCTTTAAAAAAAGAAAAAAATTAAAATATTTTGGATGGGGGCAACATTCTGCCAGCTAGACTGAAGTGTGACATCAGAAATTTTAAAACTGTGCTTTACACCAAGGAATACTCTTCTCCCTACATTATGAGATGCAAAGAAGGTTTATCTGGAATGGTCTTTCCATGGGGAGAGGGCCCGGTACCCACAGCTCAGTATTCCAATATGATACTACTCCCGAAGTGCTGTTGCATTGCTTTGACAGGCTTCAAGATCAGTCAGATAGCCCAGAAATACAATCTTCAGAGGCTTCTCTGAAACACAGCATCTGCTCAGCCTTCCTCCCCTCATTTTGAGGCCTGTTTTAACTATTTTGTAGCTTTATGCAAAAACTGGAGTTGCAACTGTTTTGAAAACCTGCAGATTATTTGATACCATCAGTGTATAGCCCAAATGAGAGTAAATTAAGCTTAAAAGTCTGTAAAGCAGAGAGATGTGGAGGTGTAAAAAACAATTACAGCTTGAACTTAATTGGGCTCTGTAATTTGTTGCAGTAATGAAATATTTCTTTAAAGTGGAAAACCTTTGAAGAATACTAATATAATAATTAATATTCAGGTTACCTAGGGAACTTGAGACTCTGCTGACTGTAGCTAGAGATCCTTTGCAGAGGAAGCTACCCAGCACATATTTTTTTCCTAGATCTTTAAGGATAACCCTTCCAGGCAGCTGTGAGATTACTACTCCCACTTTTCCAAGTTGGTACCAAGTTTCTCTGTTACAGAAAAGAAATCCAAGGACTTGTTCTCTCTAAAACAAGTTAGAGCTGATGTAAATCTGAAAAAGGAGGAAGAATTCAGGTGGGCTTAGAAACAAAAGTATAATGTGGAGATGCTAGATGATTGAAGAGTCGTAAAGAACAAAAGAAATTTTACAAAGGTCAAGAGATTTTCAAGAGGATTTTATGAAGGAGAACATCTAAATAAAAAATTAGTTTTCTATATGTCCCTAGCAGTAAATGTTGGAGAAGACTCCCAAAATCACTGTTAGCAGGATGCTACTTACACCACTCTTTTAACAGTGACTGACAAATACTACTGTGAGGCACAGTAAATTTTAACTAGGTTTCAAGAGCAATGAACCAAGTGCTTACACTTGCTCCTCTGAGGGCAGCCTATATCTGGAAATGCTAATGTCACCATTATAGACACTAAAAGAAATGAAATGTCAGGAATTTGTTCCCTGACAGTCTGGACAAAAACCAACCACAGAAGAGCGACTGTGGATATGGGAGGTATTAAAGAGATCATGGCTTGTACTTGCTTCCCAGTTCTTGATTTTGAGAAACGAATGTGTAAACATCACATACTGTCAAGAACCAGTGAGCACTGCCAGACAGCAACCTAGCCAAGAGCATGTGAGCCTGCACAGCAGAGCAGCTTTAGAGGGACACATTTGGAAAAGGGCAGCCCACTGACAACAAATGGACACATTTTGCACAGCTGCATGACAAAGCTCAGCCAGGTAGTAGAGGGTCAGCCTAGAGTCCTGCACTCTGCTCTCCAACAGTGAGTTGGCAAAACCACTGTAGTTTGTTCCAGACATGGCTGTCAGCTGCAAGCCTTTTGCCAAATAAAAAGACAAGTATTTCTTTCCCAAACTGCACTTCTAATTTATATTCCTTTATTTGGCCTGCATCTGCTGGGAGAGCAGCTTACAATGAGAATGGATGTGTACTCCTTGGCACACAGTGCTGTTTTCTAGGAACATAGGAGTTACTGGCTTAGATTCCTTCACTCCACTAGCAGCATGAAGGAAGCCAACAGCAAAAGCTGCAAAGGAAAATTCAGGAAAGCTGCTCTGAAAAATTAACTACCCAGGAGAAGCTGCTCTTGAACCTTATTAATTAGAGGTTAGTTTACGCCCTGAAGCATAAGACATTAACTCTCTTATAAATATGCATGCCTGTTCTTCAGAACTTCAGGATAATAGAGAGATGTCATAAAATTGACACCGTGCCTGAGAAGCATCTAAGCGTTCACTCCATTTAACAGATGCACAAACAGGAAAAGAAGTCAAGCAGCTTCTCTGCAGTCTTGTCAGCAGGCAGACTTCTGGTGGCACTGGCAGGTGAATAATGTGACACAGGCAGCTTCAAGTTTCTCCTGCTGAAGGCGGCTGGCTGTAGTACCCAATTTCTGCTACACAACCCCTCAGAGATTAATTTCCTCTTCTGCAAATGGGTGTGTTTATCTACTTACTTAATGAGATTTTCAGACTGTATAATATTTGTATTACACAGCTATTACTGACACCGGGCTAAGTGAGAAAAAAGGAGAGCTATACTGCCCAAGGATTATTAATTCATTTATCTCACTACAACTCTAGAAACTTTTTCTCCCCCATAGCTCCATTAATGCATCATTTCTCAGCTAAAGTGCCCTTCCAAAGCCAGTTTCAGGCTTAAGTCTGATAAAGAAGTCTGGGAGAGCTTTCAGCATGGAGATTTAGCCAGAAAATTTTATATAAAAATTGGTTTTCTTTTTTAAATCTTTTTTTTTAAGAGACTCGATTGACCAACTGTTAAGAGCCTTGAAAATCTCCAGTATGGTCATGGATTAAGGACAACTGTAAATTTTTAATATCTTACTTCCAAAAAACAAGAGAGGACTGAGAATGAAAAAAGAAAGACAAGATTTATGCAAAAGCACCCATCTTTTGTAAAATAATCATTCACAATGCCCTACACACCAAAGCACCAGTCATTTAGTCATATCAATGAAAATCTTAGATGACATCAAATCAGAACAAGTGTCAGGAACAGAATACATAGTACTGTCATCAGAATTGCAGCATGGGTTATGTACATATGAACTAGCTAATACTCCAGATGCTAAAAACCAAGGAAATTAGAACAGCACAGCCCTTAAACACTGTTTCAGCAACCAGTTTGTCAAGCCTCTACTGAACCATGGATTTTAAATGATAGTTTTCTGCTTGGTATTTGAGCTAAATTAAAGCTAGTAAGATCACTTCAGTGTACATACTGTCCACACTTTTTTGGTGGCTTAGTGTGTCCCACAGTCTTGTCTTTTGAATTTTTCCAGTTTTATCATTCGTTGCATAACCCACCTTGACTACTTATCACCCAGACTCCTTGCTGCAAACCAAAGACAGCATGAGGAATGGTAAGCCTCCTGTACTTAAAGTCCAGTCTTATATGGATGGATCCAGTTTTGGATGTTTGATTCTCATAGGCCTAGAAGAGGTAGAAGCTGGCCTGGTCGAGGGGAGATTGTAAAAGCAATAAATGAAGATGTCAGGCTGGACCAAGGAGTTGCTACTGTGGCACTGATTCAAACACCCAGTACAGCAGAAACAGTAGAAAATAGCTGGTACATGGTGGCTGGTCCCTTTGGAAGGAAGAGAAGTTAAAAAAGAAAAATAGATTGGAAAACAAAAAGCCCAAATGTAGCAGGGTGAGGAGCAGATGAGAGCAGCTTCATCTCCTGTCAGCTTTGTGCAAGACACTTGCCTGTTCTGAAATGGAATGGGCTACTTTAGAGCTCCTTATCATGCTTAATAGCTCTGTGCACAGCTAAGGCCTGCCTGAGTCAATGCAGTTTCTTTAACTCTATGTATATTCCTACCTCAGGTTTGGGAAACAGCATTAGTCAGCTGTGATACACAGCAAACACAGCAATTTATGTTGCACAAAATCTTTACCCTGTCCCCACCACCCCAAAACTACTTCTTCCAAAGGAATCATACTGAGCATCTGGATATTAAGCTCTCAATGCTAGTTAACTCCAAAGAGTTGGAAGATAGGTCAGTTTATTTATTTTTAACTATCATGACAGAATCTTTAATTCTGATCCTTGTAAAAATGTAATTCAAGTGGGCTTTGTTCCCCTGGAGAAAACAGTGAAGCTGTTCTTTAAAACCAGCATGATTTCCAAATGAGAGTGTAGGCTTTTCAGAGCTCACCATCCCTACTGAGCACGTCCTTCTGTGCCATCCCAATCAAGGACAGATGGAATCAAGTGCTGTCATGCTCAGGGGCATGAAGTGCCTTGGGCACTTCTGTAATACAGGCAACAGTCTTGGGGTAAGGAACACACTGCTTCATTACAGACTTTTACCACAGTGCCAGTTCAGATAGACAAAGTAACATGCCAATACTTTTTTAACACTGTAGGTTTTATGCCAGAAATAGCTTAATTGATTCTACTTGTTAGCTTACTATTCATCATAGTGAAGATAGATGTGATCTAAGCTAGAAATTACTTATGTAGATCTTCTATTCTACTCAGTTTGCTTAGCTAAATTCCAACAAATAAGAAGCACCCCAGCATAAAAAAATTCATAGAAATGACAACAAGGTATATAAAAATATCTGTTTAAAAGAGAATATTTAAATTTATGACTTGCTAGAAAAATCTAGGGTAAACAGTTTTTCTGAATGAGACAATGAAAATTACCTGAATTTTGTAGATTCTTCTGGTTTCCTTATCCAGGTGCAGTTCTGCAGTTTTGTGACTATGTGAAGATAATAATCTTCTGAGTATCTAAAAAAGGAAACAACATCAAACACTAGAATATATCTGTATGTATATTTAGAAACAGTATCTAAAAACATTCAAATTATGCATTTATTAATAATAATGTGTGTGGTGCATATATAATAGAGTGCTTTTAGAACTCCATGACCTATTTTATTTTTGTAATTTCTAACAGCACTATCCTCATTTAACTAGCGTGACCTATTAAACATCTCTTCTTAGTACTGGTGCCCTAATGAATTTCAGTAACTTTCAAAAGTACGCTTGTTTCCAACTTACATAACTGACCATAAATACTTTGAAGTTATTAGAAATCATCTCAAGTGCAAAATTCCAAAATAATATAAATAACTCTCTTGTACTTGGTGGCTTTAAACCTTAGAAGTGTTTTGAAAAGTGGCTCTTGCAGGCCAAGATAAAACATAACACTTCTTATGCCTTTTCTTTCATTTACTTTTTAGAGTCCTCAAAGCTCAACTATGTAAAGACAATAGACCAATATTTACAGATGTAAGTTTTCCTTTAAACTGTCTCCAAAATAAAACAATCTACTATTTGCCATGATCCAGAACTTTGGTTACATTGCTACCAAAGACCTCTGCTCTTGAAAATTTATTTAAGAGATTTAAATTTGTTCATAACTGAAATATTTTGTAATATGCAAGTTGAAAGAATGAAGACACTTTTTGCTTTCATGTTCAATGTTACCACTGCTCCCATTTGTGCCTGAATCATAAGACAGGCTTTTAAGAAACAATAACTGACTTATAACAACTGGGGGAATAGGAAGAAAAGATGGTATGGATGCCTTGACTAAAATTCTATGGGACTCTAGTCTAATATCTAACTTGCATTATTTAACAAAAATACAATATTTAACAAATATTAACAAAATTTATTTAACAAAAATATGATCACAAGTTTGTTCAAGCTGTCACTTAAGTGTCTAATTTGAACAGTTTTTCAAGAGTTGGGATGGAAAGAAAGATCACTTGTTTTTAAGTGGAGCATGAGAATCAATAAAAAACAATATATAAAAACACTGGTGGTTGCAGCAGCAGAGGTCGATTACCTGGAAGCTTCCTTCTATCTGCTCCACATTTGAATAAACAGCTTGTTTGCTTCATGAAAGTACTGCAATTGCTAAAGGTAACTCATTTATCCTACCTTGAGTAAAAGCATGTCAAATTTCCACATGGAAAAATAAATTATAATTTTAAGAGGAATGCTGCATTATGCTGGTCTCTGGCTCAAGTTTGCACCTGTGACAACATGTACAATTTTCATCCTCCACGCCTAGCAAACTCTTAATGGAACTAGAAGATTATGACTAAACTGATTCTACTGAGCCCTCTACAACTCAAGAGAACTCAACTGGCAGAAGCAGGAAAAGAAAAAACCCAGCTCTATTGCAGCTGTAGCTGATCTGACCTGGTCCAGTACATTCTTCCTCCTTCCAGTCCAACTCCCTTGTGTCACTATGGGTACCTACCCGACCCCACCTATTTTATTTTGCTTGTTTTTGCACTTGTCAAATGCCTTCATAGGCCACTTTTACTACCAGGGCAAAAAAATAAAGGAGAAAAAAAAAAAAAAAAAAAAAGAAGGAAAAGGATATGCATACCCATTTCCTTCTTCCTTATTGTGTTAAACCAGATAAGAAAGATATAATCTAACACCACAGACAGTGTAAGCAAAGACTGATGGAAATGGATGAACAGGGATCAAGGCCCTCCTATTTTGGCAGCTGCCTTGGAACCGCAGCCAGAGAAAATGGAACTATCTTCCTGCTTAAACTGATACCTAACTTGAGTCACCATGGGGTCAGACAAATGTCAGTAGCAGTGCAGAGCAGGGAGTGTTTGTGGGGTGGAGATGAGATAAAAGCACAAGACTGAAATAGTCTATTCTGATGTTGAATAACTCATCTGGTTTCATTCCTTAATCTAAACAAGAAATCACTCTTAGATGCTTGGACTTACACAAAAAAAAAATAAATTCAGAAATTAATAGGACAACAAACCATGAAGAGTTACTTAGGCTATCATTATCCAGGAGAAAAAAATATATAGAAAAAGAAAATTCTAGCTTAAAGACATTGATAAGATGAAGATCAGAGTCAGAAATTAAACAAAAAATTACCATCTATTCATGGTATTTATTCATCAGTCATGGACTGACAAGTTATTAGCAAATTACAGGGAAACATTTGGTAGGAAGAAGAATGAAAGCATCATCCATAATGTGAGTTCTGAGACGTTATAGGAAACACAGGCACTCACTGTCAGAAGCTGTAAGGCCTTCTCATACTTGTAAGCGAAAATGTGCTTAGGGTAAAAACACCAATTATGAAGCAAGAACACTGCAGCCTTTCCACAGCTGTCTCTACTGGATGGAACTGCTCTTGCTCACCAGCTCACACAGAAGAGCACCATTTCCAGGCCTTTACGAGTCAGAACACCACCTCTGCTCACCCCATGCATCCAGTTTAGCTCCTCTTGTGACTTACCAAGATATTCTGGACTGTCTTTACCAACTGGCACAGTGCCACAGGCAGCACAGACAACCCAGCACACTGTCCTGGAGGACAGGAGCTCCCAACTGTGGCAGCTCTGCAAGGCATCTGCTCACACCAATAAAAAGTTTCCATGAAATGAACTCCAATACAGAGAGTATTCCTAGAAATAATTTTTTAAAGACTCAACATGAAGCTCTGAGATTTGTTACAGCTGGGTTTACAGGTCAGAAAGCTTTGTCTTCCTGTCAGAAAGCTAATATTAGCACTTCCTGGTTTAAAGGAGGTTTGGGGACTCATTTCTCCAGAGGAAACAGTTCACGTTATCAGGGAATCATTTCACGACTCTGCTGTAACTTAGACAGTCATCTTCTCCACTGTTCCATTTTAAAGAGCTGGCACATTACATATATTTCCACAGGCACCCAGGAGCCTACAGCACATATTCACTGATACTAAAAAGGTTTTATTAAGATGAAAAAAGCTCAGGTAAATTGAGCTATAAAAATACTTGGACAACATAATAATTACAGTGCTGAGAAGAGTGAATGAATGAAACAGGTTTTGTTTTGTCCTGTTTTTATCTGCCACCTGCATCACAACCATAATAATTTCCTGTCCTAAGAAACTCACTTATACTATATGAGCCTGACTGACAACACCTGGAAGGCTTTTTCTTTTTTTCCCCCCCAGAGTTTTTGTCAGGTAAGCAGTGATCTTCTATACTAACTACAGTGGCTAAGTTGGAATTACTATGCACATTCAAAGCACTGACAAAGTATTAGTATCTTCTAATTTTTGGCAGATATGTAAAGGACAACAGCAAGGACCAAAGCATTGAGATAGTATCGAGACAACAGGTAAAATGTCAGAACAGACAGATGCAGTCTCACTGGTTATTTGCTAAAACTAAGTACCAACTTGTAAAAAAACGGTATCTGAATTAGAAGATTGAGCAACAGGAGTGAAAAAATCCCACATTTCTACTTGGCAGTTTATGCTCAAAAAAGAAACAAAAATAGAAACTATGGCATGAAATGCAAAATAAGGGAAGGCTCTGTTTTGCCTCTGGACACTTTAATGCAACCAAAAAAAAAAAAAATTACAGCTTTATAAGCCCTCAGGAGATTGTACACAGAGCTTGCTCTAGAATAAAAATGGAAAACTGCTAGCAAAACTCAGTATTTCAGGCTCTCTGTCACCACCAGCACACACTTGCTATAATAATAACTTCCCACTTACATAGCATTTCTTACTATCAAATCATCTGATAACCTTTAAATTAGTAATTTCTTTTCTCTTTCTTCCAACTTAAGAGCAGAAGTGTCCAGAATGTCCCTGCAAGCCTAGAACTACAAAAATAAAGCATCATATACCACACATATGGGTCACACCTTGTAAAAGCAACAAAATCCCTGCAACTCCTCTCAGTGAAGGTCAATAGCTGCAATATTCATGGCAAAAAGCAACCCCTTGCTCCTTTTTTCCAAGCATCTGTTTCTCTTGCTACCTGCCCAGTTCATCTTCTGCCTCATTAAATGGTACAGCCCCTTTAACCACAGAATGAAGGTCTTGTACATAATCTCAGCTCCAAAATGTAGGACTCATCTCCAAAGACTGTAAAACTTTGCAATGTGCGGGGTAAACAACAGCATTAATATTGCTGTAAGTGGATTTTCAAAGCAATACAGTGACTGGTTTTCCTTCCCTTGGTGTCACTCTCAAGTTTTCAGTCAACTGCATTCTTTGACCTCTGCCAGTCTACATTTCAACTCTCACTATGACTGCATCAGTAACATAGTGGTCTAGCACCTTTCAAAAGCATAAAAACTTCAGTGATAGCGTTGCTGAAAGAGGTGGAATACTGATGGCATAAGAGGTTGCAAAGAAGAGGGAAAGAAAAAGAAATAAATAAAGAAGTAATAATAAGAGCAAAGATGAAATGCTGGAAATACGGTGACTTAAGATGTGAAAAAACTTCAAATGCAATAAAAAGGCGAGGAAGGGGCAAAGACAGAGTAAGTTTTCAAATCATCATTTAATGTTGTTTTGGCATTAAGGAAAACTTTGACTTCTCTGGTACTTTGAATAGGGAAAGGCACATAATTATTTGTAGCTCATCTTTTGTTTTGCGTTCCATTTCTCTTCCCAAATGGAGTGGTGTGGGGAGGGAAGCTCCCAATTTTAAAGACAGCATGGCACCATCCATTTTAAGCTGCAACGCAGTCCTAATGGGAAGCCCTTCTTACTTACAATGTTTTATTTATTGGTGCATCCTTTTATTTATTGGTGCATTCATATAGGAAAAGATGTTACATGTCAAAAATAATGGCTGCTTCTCCCTTTTTCACCTTGGAAAATCACGAGAAATTTGAGCAGGACTGGTATTAAAATTGGATTTTTCTCCATGCCAGAAAAATACACAACAGCAAGTTGAAACCCAAAATTAATTTGGGGTGGTTTTTTCAATGTGTCTAGAATTGGACTATTAGTTTCCTGTGGACTCATTATCACAATGCAATCATGCAACTAACCAGCAAGTCTTCATACGAGTACATTTCCAAACTTACTCTAGTCAACAATGCTAAACAGAATCATTAACTGAAGTTGCTCAAAACAGGGAGGAGTGTCCACCAGGCAGGGAAAAGACTCTCAGAAATGAAATTATACCCCACACTTCTACTCAATATTTTTGTGAAAAACTTTGAATGTAATGTTGGTAATTGATAAGAAGGAATCTTGTATTGTGAAAATAAAACTGTTAAAATCCCACCTTGAATAAGTCTTACCCATGTAAAAGAAAAAATGCAGCAAACATTGGTTGAACAAATACAGTTTTCTGTTGCATAGCTCCACATTAATAAACCAAGAATTATGTAAAAAAGGACAATCTTTTACCCTTCTATTTAAAACAAACAAAGCAGAAAGGACAACAAACACCTACCTTTTTTTCTTGATAGATGGTGACAAAATGTTGTCCTGAATTGCCTTACATTTTGAAGCCTGTTCAAACTGGTAAATTCCATTTTTATTAAGAGTCGTTCTGTTAAAAGGGAGCAGGAGGAAAAAAAACAATAAGCTTTAAAAGAGAGAACATATTCTACTAATGTCACATTCACTTTGCTATGACAATAGGATTAATAACCGTTGATTTAGCTGAAAACATTACCTAACAAATCTTATGGACTTATGTTGTGAAGCTCCTGTTAGTAAAAGAGTTTGCTGCTAGGGACAATAAAATATTTGATTCTTTAAAATAACCTTATTTCATTGTCTGAATTATATTTTCCACTGTATACTATAATCAGCAAATGTAATTTTAAAAAAATAAATTAAATGGAAAGCCTCTTGAGCATTAAGTTTTGAAGATATTTAAAATATTCATTAGTAAAATATTTAGCAGATGTGATTTCCTCAAACTGTTGATGAAATGCAATATTCAGAGTGAATATAATATATACAGGAAACACCACAGGTGAAGTGGATCTTTGACTTTACCTTACTGACTCAGGCATAATACTTCCTGCATTGTTTATTCTTTATTTACACAGAAAGAACAAATATATGTAAAAGGAACCAAGGCAAGTGTCAGATAGTGATCTTTAATTCCTGTCTTATTTTCACCAGACTCCCATGTGGTCCTCTTGCTCTGGGCAGCCCTTGTAGAAGACTGAGATGTAAATTAGTAAATGAGTGAGATACCAAGGTCTTATTCTATTCACCTCAGTTCATCCTGTATCTAGGTCCAATCTCATACTATCACCCTCTCCTAACATCAGCCTTCCACTCTGTGGACTGCCATTTATCATAAATATTTTCCCTCTTGCATTACTTTCCCTGCCCTGCACCATGTTCCTTCCTGCTAACTCCCCCTCCTTTTTGCTTCTTTCCACAGATTCACTACTTACAGAGCCCTTGGACATTGCACCCTATTTGCCCACACCAGAAGTAGAAACATGTAAGACAGAGATGCTGTGTGCTGCTCTCAGAGAACAACTGAAACATTTCTGTGCAGAGGCACTCACAAAGCAAAGGGGCCTTCCTCCTTTGCACACAATGCACCGTGCTTCTGAGCCATTACTACTTTTACTGACAAGGACCAAAACTCCATTGCCTTCACCTGCTATAACATGGAGACCCCTTAGCAACAACATTCCTGACAAGCTGATTTCAAAGACCTTGCTTGGCAAAGATGCCATTTCAAGCCACAGAACCACAGAATGGTTGAGGTTGAAAAGCATCTCTAGAGGTCAACTAGTCCAAACTCCCTGCTTAGGCAGAGCCACCTAGAGAGGGTGAGCAAGGACTGTGTCCAGATGCTTTTGAATATCTCCAAGCATAGAGACTCCACAATCTACCTGAGCAACCTGTGCCAGTGCCCAGTCACCCTTACAGTGAAGAAGAGATGCCTGATGGTCAGAGGGAATATCCTGTGTTTAAGTTGGTGCCCACTGCCTCTGTTCTATCATTGAGAACCAGTAAGAAGAACTTGGCTCCATCCTCTTTGCACCCTCAGGTATCAATAAGGTCCCTCTTGAGCCTTCTCTTAAAGACTTCAAATGAGAATACTGGCTAAAGGAGAAAGAAGAAGAAATGCTTGCTTATTTACTACTGGCTAAAGTAGAAAGAAGAAGAAATGCTTGCTTATTTACTACTGAACTGACTCATGTTCCTAGCTGGCAGGAAAGGAAGGAACCACCTTGGTTTTTCTTTCATTGCCTTTAATTCTTCTAGAGATTCAGTCACCCTAGTAGCAATTCCACAGGATGTAGGCTGCAGAGGAGAGAGAACAGCCCTCTTCCTTTATTCCCACCACCAAGAAATTCTTCCCAATGTAATCTCAATGCCCCTGAGGAAGTATCCAGTCTGTATGCCTCCTGTTGGGGACAGCAGTAAACAACAGAACATAAACCCCTATCCTTTCAGTTCTGCAGTGACTTCAATAGATAGTAACAGCCAGCACTGCCTACTGAGAGCTCCTTGGCTGTCTTTGCTTTAAATACAGCTCTTTATGTTATTTTTTTTTCCTCAAGGAGTGAAATAGAAATAGCAGAAGGCTCTCAGAGAACACAGTTCAGAGCTAAGAACTGCAGATCTCACATAGCAAGTGCTAGCAAATTTTCTGCCTACAAAATTTATGTATACAGGTTTATTGCAGCTTGGTCTGAATGGTTCTGTCTATGCAGAACAACCAGGTAGGCTCTTTCCAGTTCTCAAACAAATTTAGTTAACACTACATCATTCTTCCTCTCTGTTGCTTCTCTAACTCAATAACCACAAATTATTATTCTACAGCTGCAGCTTGAAGTAAGAGAAATGGCTACAGGCAAGAGTTTAGCTGGCTAAACAGCATCTTAAAGAAAAGAAAAAAAACCCAAAACTATTGATATAAACCAAGTGCATGTACTTTCATTATAACTAAAACCTAAGAACTGGATGCCGATTTGAGAAGTGGCCCCAGCCCTTCTAAGCCACAGCTGGCCAGAAGAGACCCTGTCTAACATGTGAAGGCTGCCAGGATGGCCAAGTCAGAGCAGATCCCTGTGAGGTGCATTAGCAGGCAGCAGCAGAGCACCAGCATTCTTTCACAACTCTGTGCACACAGCCATTACAAGTCCTTACAGCTTCTTATTAATTTGTGTTCTGAGACCTGTGGGGCAATGAATAAATATTCTCTCAAATACAAGCTTTACTCCACAGACTTCTAGTCCTTTTAAATTCGTAAGATCGATGCAAGCAAGTTGCCTCATTTTTTAACACAATTGTTTTTATGCACTCATTTTCAAGACTTGAAAAATTCAAAAAAAGAGGAAGTCAGAGAAAAAAGAAAGAACAAGTCCCTATTCTGTTTTGTTGTTAAAGTTTCACGACCGCTTTTACACCCACATGATAGATCACCAAAATGCTTCCTCTGTGTCTTTTTACACAAAATTTACTTAACATTCTTTATGTGGTGCAAAAGATACAAAATTAAAACAATTTATTTGCAAGAGATGTGAAACAATGACTCATTCCATTAAAAGTTAAGTTTCTGAATTTCTGTTTCACTGTCAGAGTGCCCTCTGCTTCACATGAATGAAATCTTTTTGCATTTAGATAAAAATGGGTGTGCAAGAAGCAGTCCAGACTTCTACTGCATTATTCATGGCAAAGTCGTGCAAGCATCAGACTCAGATTAAATTTCTGCTCATATCAGACAATTGTGCAAGGCAACACTTACCACTAAATTAATTTACCTGACCTAGTTGAGGACAGTCTTTATTCAATACTTAGAGCTGCATTACAACTTCCACAATGAAATCAAATGACATGCCTAACAACACGGATATCAGGCTACTTTCAACTAATTTTGTTAATTATTAAGCTAAATGAGAACTTGAAGTAGAAACATTCTGTTGGTTTGAACTCATAAAACTGATGATACAAGGAAATTTCAGTTGTATTTTCCTTAAGGCTTAGATGTTCTCAAAGCCAATCTCATTGGACCAAATCTGAAAAACAGGGTTTTTTTAAATCATATACGAACAGCTTGAGGACCACATACTTCCTATGGTAATTCTAGGAACTCAGGAAGTACACCATCTGTACTTTAATAAATCCACAGTAGATTAAGACCATGTGCCATATTTATCAGCACGTTTTTATTCTATATATTGCTCTCAGGAAGACAGCAGATCCTCAAACTGTAAAATTGTTTAAGACAAGGATTGAATCCACCTTTAGAATAAGAAATGCAGGAACTATCTGGAAAGTCCTTTTGCTGCTCCTGTAGCATTCAGTCCTGAGACAATAGGGAACTGTAGTGCTGGGAATCACCAGAGAGGCATGTCAAATAACACAGCATTCTGGGGGAGCAGAAAGATACAAGGTACAGGCAGGGAAAGCAAAGGGAAACCCTCTAAAAAATTCAACCCCACTTATCAGAGCTGGAAAATGAAATGGGCATGAGATGGAGGAATGGTAGGGAAGAAAAAAGAAAGCAGATGGAAAAAGGAAAAGTGGTGCTGTGAGTTATACTGTAACATGAAGATTGAAAGGCCACTCCTCTAGAAATCCCTCAAAATCAGGTGGAAACAAAGAATGTGGGATGAGGTATTCAAAATTTCTCAGAACTGAACTGTTTGGCATCAGTAAAGCAATAAAAATTTCACCTCCCTAGTAAGTCCACACTGAAAGTAAGGGAAAATACCACTCATTGGCTATTCACTCTACACCCAGCAGAACCAGTTGTTGCTCTTTTCTAAAGCTTCTTGCCCTTGAAGCAGCAGAAGAGATCTAAACATGTTCCAGCTGAGCATCTCCAGCTAAAAAGGATAACTTCTGTATGCAAAATTGCCCATTTTTAATCGTTCTACCAAATGACACTGAATAGCATTATCCAGTTTGTGAATATCTTCCATCTTAATCTCACCCTTGAAGGGACTAATTTATATTTGAATCTCATCATCTGTTAGTTGAATACTATTAAAAAAACCACAATCCATACTTCCCTAGGAAGGGCGCTCTTAAGGGCTGTCTTTGACACTATTTCAAATTAATTAAATTATAAGAATACGGTGATATTTTTAAAGTTCACAACACCTTGATTAATAAGGCAATACACAATTTAAATTCTTGGTGAAATGGACTATAAAAATGGCTTCATCAAACCACAGGAGTAAGAATTTATCTTGAAACATTAATCACAGTAACTGTTAAATGGACTGATCCTACTATCTTTGTTCAAATTCCTATACAGGTATTGCTTATCTAAGGAATGCTAAGAAATGCACAAACTGCACCTTTAAATTATTTGAAAGACCCTCTTGTGCATTCACCAGGGTTATGTATAACGTCAGATACTTTTTATTTATAAAATCCATAAACTGCATGACAGCTAACATGACAAGTAACATTCAGAGCCTCATGGTAGGGGAAGTGAAAATAATAAGGGACTTACACTAAAATCGTGTTACAAGGGCACACGATAGAATGACAGAGCAGTTTCATTTGGACCAAGTAAACAGAAAGAGTCTGGTAAACCTTTCACCACTGTCACAACACAAATGACTCCTGGCAGCAGCTTTCAACTGATCACCTATTCATTTAGACAGAACTAATACATGAGGCATATGTTCAAAGTGTGCTCCTAAAATATGTCTGCACACATCACTTGAAAATGAAGGGGCAAAATAATAAGAGAGCAGTAAAATTAGTGAAGTGGGGCCCCACTGCTGACTAGTATAAACCATAGCAAAGTATCTGTGCAATATACTAGTATATCAGTGCAATTTACTATATACTAATCCATAATTGTGGTGTTAGCCTGTCTCTTCTTCCACTTCTGAGTGCCTGAATGCAGTATTTTGACAGGACACTGAATGTACAGGTCTCTGTAGCATTGTTAATTAAGTATAGCTGTTTATTTCCTAGGCCTGCATACAGATCTGCTGCTGAGAGAGGAATTGGAGAAATCAACACTATGGAACACTCTATTAATACTAACTTGTTTACTCATAGCTCCTCAATCACGTCCTCCCACTGTTCAATTACTTCAGTGGTCTTCACACTGTGCTTGCCTTGGACCCACAAAGACAGACAGCAATATAAGGAAATAGTAAGTGAATGCCTTAAAACTGGCAACACAGTAACGGTGGTCAGTTCTTTAGGGTACTGCTGCCCTGTTACTTTTTTATAAGTATACATAAATAGTGCTATTTTCACTTCCCTTGCAGGAGCTGACATTATTTATATGCTACATATTCCAGGGTAGTATAATAAGAGCTAGAATTTCTGCCTAAATTTAACCTAGCACACCCTGGGCCTCATAACAAAGAAAATACTACCTAGCTTCTCTTACTATTTTCATTTTCCCCTGATAAGCACTAGCAATACTGAGCCTTCTGTTCCACTATTAATGCAACCACTACACAAACAACTAAGCCTGCACAAACACAGCTGGGGAGAGAGAAAAGGAGAGAGAGAAGACCAGGGGTCTAAAGGTGGGAAAAATGCAAGTCTTCTTTTTTTGGTTGTACTGCTGGTTAAGAAAATAGAAATTATTCTTGCAGTTACAGCTTGAAAGTTAAGAGGACAGCATGAGGCATAGATAGGAGAATTTGCAATATAAATTTTATTGGTTCCATGAATAAATCTGGGGACTACTAGACATATCTTACTAACAGTGGCCACTTTTTTCAGTAAGAAACCCTACTAAGAGCCACAGTAGGCTGTGAAATGAGCCCAAGACTAAACATGTAAGTTGCACTGTAGAGACAGTCACATTGCTCCAATTAGCTAATGCTTAACAAGAAAAAGGGGTAAGACAAACCACATCATCAAGTGTATTTACTAAGACACAGATCTTCAGAGAACTTTAGATGCCTGGTCACCATGTATTTAAACATTGCTGCACATAATAGCTGCCTAAATATCTAAGAGACTGATCCAATCCCCTGCTTTTCATCCTTTCATCCTTCAGTTCCATCCTTTTAAAAGAATTACTCAAAGTAAAAGAACAGATTAGCTTTAAATATTGCAAGGCAACAGAATAATAGGGCCTTAGACATTCTTTGGGAGATGTCTGGTTACAAATATGCCTCCAACAGCAAAGGAAATAATGATAAGAAAAAAGATTAGCTTGTGACTGTGAAGATTGTCTAGATTACTTATACTTAGAGGTCAAGGATAGTGTCTAGGTTTTTTTTCTTTTTCCTCACCTGGAAACATCCATGTACATCCTCTTATGCAGGAAATGGCATTGCTGTCAATAACACAGCAAAACCATTCAAATGATCAGGGTTTTTTAGGAGAATCATGCTTCCCCACTGCACACTGGAATCTTAATTCCTGTTGACCAGACCATCCATCTCCATCACCAAGGGATAGGTCTGAACCTCCTGAAGGAGTCCAGATGCTCTCTGGATCAAACCTCTCCAGCATGGCCCTTAGCCAGGCCCAGTCCAGCTGCTGCCTGGATCAAACCCCTCCAGCATGGCTCCCTGCCCAGTCTTGCTGCTCTCTGCATGAAGTAACAGCTTCAGTCAGTCAGTCCAGTACAGCAGCTCTCTCTCCTTTCTCACAGGCCAAACATGCACCACAAACTCCTGTCAGGCCAGCTTACTGAGCATAGTCACTCAGGTGAGAAAGCACATCCACTCTTGGATTCAGCTGGCAAGACATCTCTCCAAAGACACTACGGTTACAGGAGCTTGAGTAAACTGAAACTTTCTTTGATGAATTATTTACTTGACACACTTTTGCATTCACTTAGTCATGAAGAAATACAATTTCAGGCTGACCAAAACTAGCTTCAAATTGGTGCAAACATGCTCCAAGTAGAACAAGGAAGAATACATATTTAAAATCTCAATCTCACTTGCCCTATTACGGAGGTTGAAAACATGACATGGATTTTCATACCTCTTTGGTATGTGTTGTTTTTACTTTCTTTGCTCCAGTTGTGAGTGTACTAACAGCAGATGGGAAATAGCTAGACTGTTCTCTGAAGTGCTCTTTGCCAGCATTTCTAGTCAATTCGACTCCATGGTATAGCACAAAGGGCTGAGTGAAAGGAGATGCAGCTCAGAAACTAGCAGGGAAGAGCGTGAGGAGACGGGCCAGGGGGAAACCACAGACATAACCCAAAACAGAGTGGCAAGAAGAACAGAGTAATGGCTACAAAAAAACCCAAAACAATGCAGAACAGTACATACTGCAAAATCATTACTAAGAGGGGGAGAGGAGGGGGAAAAAAGCAGAAAGGGAAAAGATGAGAATAGGAAAGAGCAGGCTAGAAGCTCATAACACCAGGTAGAAACTTGTGCAGAATTTCTTTGACTCTAATTTTGAAAGATGCTATAAACTTACAGCTCGTGAAAGTTCTAAATTTTGAGGGAGGGAGCACAAGGGGCTCTCATCAGAAACACATAAGATATGCACTCTTAGGGTACACTTGCAATTGTTACTATAACTAACATCACTTGCATTCACTTAGGGAAAGCATAGGCTGTCAAATTCAGCTACATTGGGTGAGATAGCGGCCTCAGTAAGGTTAACTGCACTGTCACCACTGTCTCCAACACAAGGACATCACAGTTTCTGTGAAAGATCCAATTCTTAAGTTCTTTCTAATTTTTATAATGTGTTTTTGACCATAATTTATATTACCATATAATAGTCAGGGTAATTGCAAAGTTAATAAGACCATATAAAGTAAAAGAGGAAAGCAAAAATATTTCAAAACTACTTCTTACATAGTATTTATCTCATGAGTGGATTACACCACTGTCTTCTGCACTCTTAGTTTTCCTACAGTGTGTGGGGAGCATGAAAACAATAGTCATTAGTACTGAAGTCTGCATGTATGGCACAACATGTTTCACAGCTGATTTTAAGAAGTATCTTCATATTAAACTTCACAGTATAAAATAACAGACTGTAAAGAAAAGATCTACACTGATCTAAAAGGTCAAGACACAGGATCAAGTGAATGGGCTCCCATAAAGTACAATGTCAACCCAAATGAAATAGGCTTCATATGTCTTGCCTTCATCCTGTGAATTTTAAATTATGAATCTGTATTTTTAACCAAAAACAGATCACAAAAACAGTAGCAGTATAACCCAGCTCCACCTTCCTGGAAAGAAGAATGAAAGGTGCCTGGAATACACCATTCAGCAGGCACTTTTTGCATCATACGCTAACAAAACTGGTCTACGCAATATTTTATTGGGCTCAAAACCAAGGGCAGAGTGACAGACATCAATAAGAGGGCCCATGAGCAAATAATTCATTGTAGTTAAAGCAAAGTGTCATTTGCTCTAATGATCTCTAACGCTCTCTCTGATCAAGCTGCCGAAACAAAAGGAAGAATGAACCGAAGCGAAGGCGAATTTCTGCTTTTGTAGACCCGACCTCACGGACCCACCTGCGGGCGGCCAGCCCGTACCTGTTCTCGGTGTGAGGAAGGGGCGTCAGGGGAGACCTGAGGGCTCGCACCACTTTCGGCGTGACAGCCGCTACTCCTGCCTCCTCCTCCCAGCCCCTGGCAAGCGAGACGGTAAAACAAAGTTATCAGGACCAGTGATAGAACATCACCCGGCGAGAGCGGCGCCGCTCTCCTGCCCGCGACCCGCTCGGAGCCGCCAGCGCCCGCGCCGAGCC